CTAGTGCGGAGGTCGGCGGTGCTCGCCTTGATGGTGCCGCCTCTTGGCGGCGGGGTGGTCTGGTGGTGCTGGCCGGCCGGGGGCGCGTCCCTGGCCCAGATCTGGGCCCGTAGGGTTCCTTCTAGGTCCTTGCGGGTCGGCTCCGGCGCGACTGCGGCGCTCTTTGTATGGGGAGGCTGGGGAGCGGCTTGGACTGGGATAGCGACGCCGGCGACGTACCAGCTGCTGCGCGGAGGCGGGAGCTGTCCGGGCCTTTGAGGGCCCGCCGGGCCTGTGGGGCCACGGGCCCGGTAGGCTCCTGTCATGGCGTCCGGTCAGCTACCGTCGTGGACGGTGGAGGTGGGGCCCTCCCGTATGCCGATGATGCTGTTGTCCTAGTCCCGGCTCCTCTTCTCCGTTGTGCAGACCATCTTCGTGGTGCTGTGGTGAGACAGCATGGGAAGCTTCGTGTTCGTGTTGGCGCAGGGTGGTGGTCGGTCTGGTGGTGAGCTCCGGAGTGCCTGAGGTAGAGGCTGGGATCGGAAGAAATCTTTGTTGGCTTGACCGACACCAACGCGGTGGTGCCTGAGGGTGCCGCCGGACCTTCTTGGAGGGCGTCGGGGCTACCCTTCCTATCTCCTCGCCGTGTACCGGGGGAAACCCTTGGCAGCAGCGTCGTCATCGTCGCGTCCCTTCTTGAAGGTGTTGTTGGGTACCAGCACTTCGAAGTCTCGGAGCTTGGTGGGTGATATCCGGTGGACACAGCGGTCACGAGGCTTCGTCGTTTTTTGTCGATCCGCCGTTATCGGCATTTGTTTCTTTTCTTTTTTTCTCTTTCCTTTCTTGTGGGCGTGTTTGTGCTGTTTCCGCCCCAACCCCTTTCGTCGGTTGTATCGGTTGGTTGCTTTGTAATACAAAGCGGGGAACCCTTTTTCGTTAGATGATGATTTGTGCACAAAATGGCACTCTAGCAGAGGCCATGTAGCTCATAATCGATACTCCCTTCATAAACTAATATAAAAGCGTTTAGATCACTAAAGTAGTGATCTAAACGAACGCTTTTATATTAGTTTACAGAGAGAGTACATTGTAAGGAGGTTGCTCCATGAATGCGCTCGCATCGCAACCTCTAAATTTCGAGGCTGGGAGGTTACGGAACTCGCTCCAAATCCAACCGTCAACGTGGGAGAAAAGTTTCAGCTTCTTCCTCCCCATGTCACGGTCGAGATTTGAAGTTGTGCGGGCCAGGTACACGAACCACCGTGCACAGATAACCACCGTCGAGCCATGGTGACGAATAACCACCCATCCATTAGTGGGACAGAGTTCCAATAACTGGCCTCTGGCAGTCACGCCGTAGTAGCCTCCACTGTGGCCTCCGATTCCCAGGGCGGCGGTTCGAATGGCCATGCAGCTTCAGCCTCGGCTATAAAAGCCTGGCGGCGAGGCGTCCCCATCACCAAAGCCTTACTCGCTACCTTCCCCCTTCCCCCTCCCATCTCCTCCACCGTCCGGGGCAATACCACGCAACCTATTGGCCGAACTTGGCGGCAGAGCGGAACCTCTTGCCCCAAACACAGGCTCGAAGTGTACCGCAACAGGTGCGAACCTCCCTTGCGGCAAGCGGCGACGGATCTAGCGATTGTGGGCGAACCACCGCTTCCCGGGGGATCCGGCGGCTCCACTAGCCACGGGTGGCATTGGATTAGATTAAACTGAGCTTAAATTGTCCCTACGGAAATGAATGATATGACAAAAGAAATGTAGACAACGTTTGGGCGATTCTGTGTTTGCACTGAATGATATGACAAAGAAATGTAGACAGCCTTTGGGCGATTCTGTGTTTGCTCACAGGCCCGGCATCCTTCATATGCGATATGACCACTCTGCTAGAGTTGCTCTAACGCAGCACACATATCTTCAACACATCCTCGGTCCTTTCCAAGCATTTTAGCAGCTAACACTGGAATTAAGTTCTCAAATTACAAGAGGGGTGAACAGAAAAAGCAACTTCAATTCCCACAGCGTCAGGTAAATTACATCCAACGAGTAGAGTTGCATTCTATGGTAGCAGAAAACAAGAAGAAAAAAACCCTTTCAGTGGCTCTAGCGGTATAACAAAGCTGACAGGAACACAAGCGCATCACTCTAAAATTTACATCACACTGTAGGCGCCGATAGACAGACAACACCCTGTTTTTGCTCCAGCGCAGCGGCGAAAAAAAGGATCTCTGTATATATCCAACAAGTAACAATCAACGAATGACACACACCAGTCGAAGCGGCTACCGTTCCGTTTGTTCAGATCTCATCGTCACACGGCCTGGAGCTTCTGCTCGTCCATCGATTCCACGGGAAGAACCGCGGGCTCCCACGAGGAGTGCTCGTCCAGATGGATCTTCGCATACTCGCTCACCAGCCCGTTCCTCTCTTCCCACATGATGGCCTTCCTCTCCTCCTCGGCCTTGTCGACCTTGTCCTTGGCCATGGAGCCCATGTCGCCCGCCGCTTTGGTCACCATGCCGAACGCGCTGGTAAGCCAGGAGGCGCCGGCTGAGACGTACTGGTTGCCCATGAGAGCCGAGCCTGCGACGCTGGCCTTCTGCTCGGCGGCGGCCAGGGCGGACCTTGTGAGCTCCGACACCTGGTACCGCTCGTCCACCTCCTTGACCTTGCTGCCGACGACCGCCCGGCCCAGGCTGATCTTCTCGCTCAGGCCGTACTGGTGATCTAGAGACACGACAGTGGCGGTGGCGGTGGACATGATGTTGTGACGCTCGTCGAAAGACCTTGCCATGTTGAGTGCGTCCTTGCTGAGGACAAAACCCTTGGCCATCATGCTGCTCACAACATCCTCCGCCTTCCTGACTGCAGATTCAGCAGAGGGAGAATTCTCTCCCTGCACCCACAAGGACATGCACGAAAATTCAGAAGAGTGGAATATCAAAGCATATTAAAAGTAGTCAGGATAGTAACTAAATAATTTTGTAAAGAAAATGAACATAAAATGAGGTTAAGCTAACTGCAGTTGCAGGAGACTGATTTGAGAGAAAATCCATGCGGTCTCTTTATTTCTCTCCTCATTGACATAGAAATGTTCTTATCATGGTGAGAAACTGAAACAATGTTGGTGGAAGTTAATACTACAATATTTTACTTTTGAATTGCTAAACTAAAAAAATGCTGCTCCAGAGAGGAAACCACGTCTATAGAAAGCCATTAAACAGTAAGAGCAGGAAAAAGAAATACTATTTCTACCACAAATTAAGTGCTATTAAAAAAATGCACCATATTCTTGATTTAAAACAGTTGTAATATTCACCTAGTTCCTTTTCAGTTTCAAAGACTAAAACTCCCAGGCCTGAAAGTAAGTTCTTTCCAGTTTAATACAACTCAAAATAATGGTCATGCAGTTAAAACATTCTTACCGGTAATTGTTTGTGGGCTTCAGGAGGCAACTGATAGTTCTCAACTGGAGTTATGATGACAGAAAGATCAACAATCGTTGCTCCCTGTAGATTAGCGATCCATGATTATAAGCCAAATCCCCAAAGAGCAGTGAGATGAAATATCACCAGGTAATAAGTTTCAGGAGCTCGAACGTACTGAGAGAAGCACAGCAGTGTCTGCTCCTTGTGAGTCCTTAAATGTGACGTACGCAAGTTGTGACCAATCAGTTTCACTGATGAAAACACGAGCAAATATTTAAGAAACACTCTTCTGCTCCATTGAAAACAAGCACACAATAAGTAATGATGACTTACCTTTGCATTTCAACATATTCTATATCACCAGAGAAAGAAAAGAACTCTGTGATCTCCCTTTTTGAGGCACTCAATGAAATATTGCCAACTTTTACTGTCCTCACCTGCAACAGAATATCAATGATGAGCAAATGGGATATTGCTAGTGCTACTTTAGCACAGGGGAGGTGATAAGATGGACTGTAGTGATTTTACATCTACCGAAAATGAACAAATGGGATATTGCTAGTGCTGCTTTAGCACAGGGGAGGTTGGACTGTAGTGATTTTACATCTACCGAAAATGAACAAATGGTATATGAGACACTAGTGCTTTTTTTTAGAAAAGGAGGATGACCCCCGGCCTCTGCATTTGGGCGAGATGCATACGGCCACTTTATTAATTATTCTCACAAGACCTTACAAAATCATACAAAAGTAAGACTAAAGCCGCCGTCTAAGCAACAAACTGTCGCTATACCTATCCAGTTGATGAAGGGGCGCAGATAGCCTGGGCCTAATACCAAACAGACATCGCAGCCAAGCCGACATCGCAGCCAAGCCTAACATCTAAGACCTGAGACCCCAACCTAGCCTCTTGCCGGGTCTGGGGCACACACTGATCCGGCGTGCTCTCAGAGGCCGCCGCCGCCAACTGCCACCGCTCCATCTTCAGAACTGTACTGATGCATCAACCTTGCTCGGTCTAGCTATCGTCGACGCCACCACGGCGCCAAACGGCACCTCCTCCCTACGCGCAAACAGCTGAGCACGTCGCGGTCGCCACTGATACACCTCAGCGCCATGCTGCCAGGTATCACCAGACGACACAGCTTGAAGTCCTTGGAAGATCTGTCATGCGTAGCACCTGCCGACCAGGCATGACAAAGCGTAGCATCTGTCAGTCAGGCATGACTTGACATCACCACCGAAGCTCCGTGCAAGACAAAGCCGCTCCACCTCCTGCCTCTGACTTCCAGCGCTGCTCCACAAACGATGCTCCCAAGAGAGAAACGATACCGCAGTGCCGCCATCGTCCGATCTGGAACACCAGATCCTAGGGTTTCCCCCGGAGCAGCACAAGTGGGTCGACAGTAGTTACACGACGATGCCTCCATCAAGGTAACGGCGAGAACGCCGCCATCGCCTGCCGTCGGCTCGATTTTCACCGGCAACCATGTCTCCCCTACTCGCAGCCGGGACAAGATGATGGATCTCGAGATCCGATCACCAAGCCTCTGGCCGGCCATCTCGGGAAGATGACCAACACGTCCACCAGCGTCACCACGCCGGGCACGCGTCACCGCCGGCACCCCCATGGTGCCTAGAGGCCGACAAGCCCCGACGAACACCATGCCTCGCCAGCCGCCATGGCCCAGACCCAAGCACCACCAGATCCAGATCGGATCGGGGTCAAGGGCCCCAAACCGCAACCGCCGCGGAGGCAGCACCACTGGACGGTGCCTAGCCCTCCAGCCCGCCGCCGAGTCATCGCCGGAGGTCCGCCGCGCCACACCGCCAAGCCGCCGCCGGGATAACTCGCGTCGCCGCCAGAGAAGCCGCAGCCGCCGCGCGTTGGAGGGGGCCCAAGCCGCAGCTGCACCGCCGCCAGGCAGGGGCGCCGCCACCCAGCACGCCCTCCGCCGCGCCGCTGGGCCCCGCCCAGCCCAGCGTCGTCTCGCGCCGCGCCGGACGCCAACCGCGAGGAGAGGGGCAAGATCCCCGCCGCCACCAACGCCGGCCGGACTTTGCCCGGCGGCGTTGTACGATGGCGGCGGGGGAGAGATCGACGAGGGAGGATGAGGGGCGGCGCGCTAGGGTTTCCCCCGAGGACGCTCACGGGAGCGGCTCGGGGGTCGGGGGTTTGCTCATGAGACACTAGTGCTACTTTAGCACAGGGGAGGAGATAAGATGCACGATTGTAGTAATTGTATATTTTTGGATAAGGAGTCGACACAGTTTAGCATTCCTGAAACCCAAACTTTCCAGCGTTTACAGAACAATCTCATTCTGAAGAAATGTTAAATGACTCAAACCAACAACATAAGTATGAATTGTGGGACAACATTAGAGAGAATGGATTAGATACACGAACATGGCAATGTAGATAGCACATAGCTGTCAGGACCCAGGAACATCAACTGGGTAATAAATATCCTTTTTGAACTATACAGAAGAGAGAAGACATTTAACTCAAAAAACGTTACATTTCCATTTGGCATATACTAAACAAACGTTGTATGATAAATGAAAATGAGCAGTGTAATGTATTCCCAGGTGCCACAGTCAATTATTAAGAGAGAAGAAATTGAACTCAAAAGTCACATTTCTATTTGGATTTGCTCCCTCCGTTTCTAATTTCTAAATCTAAGCCTTTTTAGATATTTCAATACGGACTACATTCGGATGTATATAGACGTATTTTAGAGTGTAGATTCACTCATTTTGCTTTGTATGTAGTCAGTATTGGAATCTCTAAAAGGACTTATATTTAGAAACGGAGGGAGTATTAAACAAACTTTGTATGATAGATGAAAATGAGCAGTCTAATGCAGTCCCAGAGGTGTCACGATCAATTATTAACAGGAGACCACATGCTAAACTTTAGCTAAAAATGTAATTCCAGGAACTATAAATATAAATAGATGTCATTTGCACCTTTTGTATCTAGTATGTAGGTCACATACTAGGACATATTAGAAATAAAGTTGTTCAACCAGCTCAGTCAGAAAGAATACAGTAGATAGCACTACGTAAATCAATGAGAATCATACGCTCAATAAGATAATGTTGACAGCACACCATTAGGAATCGTGCTGTTGTACAATTAGAGCTGCAAAAGTAATAATGTATGCCAGCTCCCCTGTTACCAGGAGTGGTTAATTTCCCTAAATGCAAAAAAAGAAGAAAGCGCATTCATTGACCAAAAGGAGCCCAAATCATCTGCTGATCTGAAAGAAAAGACATTCCCAACAGAAACTAGAAACGGCTCCTCTTCAAGATCTGAACTACTACCAACCAGTTTCTAACCCACGGCCTTGAAAAGTCGGTACCCGTAGAAAACAAAATCAGAGGCTCCGGTTCGGATTCAGAGCCTAAGAATCCGGGGGGAAACCAACGGATTGCCCAGCAAGCGCGAGAAACTTGGAACGAAGCGCCGAATGGATCGCCTGGCTCCCTCTGCATCCAGAGCTCGCCGGCATTGCGGTTGCGGCGGACTTACCGAGGAGCAGGCAGACGGCGCGCGCACCCGCCGTCGAGCCGTTGACCCGCATTGCGCTGGGCCGCTGGCCTTTTCGGGGAGGAACGCGCGGAATCTAGCGGGAAAGCGGCGACGGGGAGATGCTCGTCCTCGTGGCCTCCCGCGCCGTTCCCGGAGGACCAGGCCGGGCAAAAATCGTCGGAGACGACGCCTCCCGTGGCCTCCATCCAACCCGGAGTTTTGCTACGACTACGAGAGACGGCCGGCCCGACCACCGCGCGAGCACCAACGGAGGAGAAGAAGAAGATAAGACTAGGGAGTTGCGACTCGTGAGAGAGGTTGCGCACGCACGCACGCACCTCCATTGCTGCGGGATCTCGCGGGAGGCGAGCTTGGTGGCCGGGAATCCGTCGGCCGGCGGGGCGAGAGAGACGAGGAGGGTGAGGTGGGGCTGGTGAGTTCGGCGCCGCGCGTTGCGCGTGTGTCGGCGGGCGGAGGGAGGAGAGGAGAGGAGGGGTGGACTCGGCCGGGGGAGGAGGAGTCGGGTGGGCGGTTGCTCCTTTCAACTCTCGCTTTCGTGGCGAGTTGTAACGTAAAAACGATGCGCGCGTCGGCGCTGGCGCGGCGCTGCAGTGGTGGTGGTGGGCCGGTCGCACGCACGACGGGGTTTGTGGTCTGGGTCGGGTCGGGTCGGGTGGCACCACGGACGTTCGGTTCAGCTGCCTGCCGTTTGCTGGATCCGTGAGGAGGGCTTTGGGATTGGGGGTTGGAGTGTCATCGGAGGCTAAATTTCTTGTTTTGACCCTTACGTACTTCCTCTGTTCTGAATTACTCCCTCCGTTCCACAATACATGCCTTCCCTCTGTCAAAATATAGATGTATCTAGACATGTTTTAATATATAGGTACATTCATTTTTGGACAAATGAAAGTCAAGTATTTTGGAACGGAGGGAGTACTTGTCTTGGATTTGTCTAGATACGGATGTATCTAGACTCATTTTAGTGCTAGATACCTCCGTATCTAGACAAATCTAAGACAAGTAATTCGGAACGGAGGGAGTACAAATTTAGGATCTGACCTCGGTTGAAAAAAATTCAGGATTTGATCCTTTTTCTTACCGTCAGGGGCGGTAGGGTACTAGTCCACATCAGCACACGGAGACGACCGTCGTCCCCCTCCGTTGCACCCTATCTCCACGGCCCCTGGCGGTAGGCTGTCTAATCCTACCGCCAGCGCCCCTGGCGATAGGGTGCGAGCAGTTATTTCGCGCGAGACCTCGCGCCCCTGCCCATCTCCCCACCCCTCCTCCCCCTGTCGGCAGTTTCTTTCTCCCCACTCGCCCCTCTCTCCCTCTTTCATCTCCTCCACTCTCCCTCTCGGATCTTCACCGTTTCTTCATCGTTTTTACGGATCAAGATGGCCCCGAAGAGAGAAATGTAAGCTTCTTCGATCCTTCCAATTAGTTTTTGCAAACTTGCTTCTGATTCGACGCATTATTTACTTGAAATTCCTCATATTTTTGAACTTAGATTGGAATTTAGCTTGATTATAGTTTTAGTATGATGATATGGAGATATTGTTTGGAGAAAAAACAGTTTTCGAGTTGTAACGTAAAAATGATGTGTGTCGGCGCTGGCGCGGCACGGCAGTGGTGGGTCGGGTCGGGTGGCACCACGGACGTTCAGTTCAGCTGCTTTGCCATTTGCTGGATCCGTGATGAGGGATTTAGGATTGGGGGTTGGGGTGTCACCGGATTTTTTACCTTTCGTTTTATTACTCTGATGATGATCTGTTATGTTTTGTAGCGTAGTGTGCTTGTGTTGGACCTGACGCCCTGCCAAACATTGCGTTTTTGGCGCACAGTGCACGCAATTTCCCCGTACGCACCTCACGTGCCCAAAGAAAGGCCAGTCGAGGCCGGTCCTGCTGCTTAGATTCTTTTCATTTTTCAGGGAAAAACACGCACGGGGTCGACGGCGCTGAACTGGACCGAAATGCAGCGAGAACGATTCTTTTCTAGGGTCCAACTTGAGTTGTAATCTAGAATCTAGACTAGAAGTTGTTTCTCCGACCCGTTCTTGCACGGCTTATGCACATGTTGCCTTGATCGGCGGCCGGTAGGGGGAAAAGACGGGCGTGGCACGCCGGCCGCCATTATTCCATGCCTTTTTCTTCTTCGTACCAATCGCTTTTGATAAAAGTTGCTTTGCTAGAAAGGTAGTATGTACTACTGTACGTGGCCGGCCGGAGTAGTCCATTGGCAACGGGCCAGACCCATTCCCGTCCAGGCGGTAATCGCGGCAGGACGATCGCCCGGACCGGCCGAGTGGCACGGCACGGCGCTTTACGTTACGTGCCCGCACACGACGCATATCTTTTGGTCGCGATTCCGATGCAGTGCACTCACCTGCACGTTCCATTTCTCGGATATGCTGTCCGACCACCGCTCGTCAGGGGGGTTTGGCTCGGGTGCAGGGGTCATAGCACGGATTAATATGCACGGCCAATAATCAAGTGACACATGTCCCAGTGGGACCATCAGAAAAGACATTTTTATTTCTCTCTTTTTATTCTACCAGTTCCCTGGTTCTCAATCTTCTACTCCACCATTAATTGAGGGTAGAGACCATGAAGCTTTACGTCCTATGAAATCAACGTTTGTAATACTAGGGTGCTTCCTCGAGAGAGTAGCTAGCTATCATCCCATTGACGACGACGCCCCCCGCCGCCGGCCGCCACACAAATGAAGCTCCCCGCGCCGCGTGAAGCCGGACAAGACGGAGGACGTGCTGCTCCGCCGCTCCAACTCACCTCCATGCACGAGGACTGTGAATTCAACGCATGAGTGCTGCCATCTCCATTACGTAAGGAACCATGGTCCAATCGCTGCTTTTTTTCGACCGAAGTCTAATCGCTGCGTGCCCCTCAGCCTCGCGACGTATTCATCCGCGGCCCCGCCTTGGCTGCCCACACCATCACCTCAGCCTCACGCCGCCGCAGCCTTGGCCACGATCAGGTTCATGGTCTCTAGTCTAGAAGAATTGAGAATCAGGAAACTCCTAGAAAAAAAGGCCTTATTAGTTGGTCCCACCAGAACACGTGTCACTTTATTATTTGCTATGCACATTAATCCGTGCGGTGAACCCTACACATGAGCGGAAAAAAATTATATGAGACTAGGTCTCACGGTTAGCCGGTGAGACCCATCCTGATAGATGACACGTGGCATTCATAAATCACAAAGCATCTAATCTTTCCCCCCTGATTTTAAATAGGGGTGGAGATGCTTTGTGATTTGTGAATGTCACATGTCATTCATCAGGATGGGGCTCGCGTGAGACCTTGTCTCATAAAATTCTTCAGGGGAACGATCCTAGTGAACTCCCTTCCCGCCGTGCGATGTGGCGGCATGGATCATGGCGTGAATCGGGTGCCAGGTCGGCTCTCTAGAGTGGTTCGCTATCTCGGCTCTCTAGAGTGGTTCACTATCTCGGCTCTCGTGATGAACGGTTTCTTTTTTTACTTCCTTCCCTTTTTTCTTTTGAGGGAAAAGACACTTTATTACTCAAATTTCACAAGAGGTGGGATACAAACTTGGTCATGAGGCTGGTCAAGCCACACATGACGATCCCTAGGTAAAGAAACAACAAATTTAGCTAACTTTTGAAAAAAAAAATACAGGAGAAGTGTGCTGCTCTCGCCTTGATTTCACTAACAATAGCTCCGTAAGATCCTTGAACTCCTACACGAGGACCATCCACACTCGCCACTTGGGCCGAAGCGGGGCTTGCGAACACTCATGCTCAAACACCATTATGTATCTGAGTTAACTTGGTTTTTCATTTGAAAAAAAAACTGAAAATCTTGATTTTCTTTCTTTCTTGAAAGAACAAGAATCCCTATTTTCACTTATTAAAGGATGGCAGCATTATTACTAAGAGCATGTCATTTTAATATTAATAACATGTCATTTCTTTATTAGTATAGTAGGAGGATGACAAATTTATTATTAAGAGCATGAAATTTTAATATTAATAACATGGAAAAATTTATTAGTATAGTAGGAGGATGGTAGTTTTATTATTATTGGCATGGCATTTTTTTATATCATAGTAAATTTATAAAATGAGAGAAATTGCAGTTTCATAAAGTATCATGGCAATTCCGATATTTTTAGAGCATGGCATTTATAAATTTATGTTTTTACTTTTTAGCACTGTATTTTTGTTATAGCTGGCATATCGTTTTTATTATCAAGAGGATGGCGGATTTTTTATTATTGGTATGACATTTTTTATTGTCATGGTAAATTTATAAATTCAAGAAATGACTGTTTTATAAAGTAGCATGGCAAAATTAGAGAGATGACAGTTTTATAAAGTAGCATGGCAATTTCCATATTACTATTTTTCATGGCATTTTTTATCTAGAGGATGCCAATTTTACAGTTTAGCATGGCAATTTAGGTTTTCTAGATCACAAGTCATTCTCTTTTCTATCATACTCATTGTAAATTTATAAATTGGAGAAATGGAAGATTTGTAAAGTAGCATGGCATTTTTCATAATTCATATCACGACAGTTCAAATTTTTACAGTCAAAGTGGCATTGAAATACGGAGCCGGCTTGACCTTGTCGATGACAGTGTGAAAGTCTTGGCGCATGTGCCCCTAAGGACCAGTGTGTCAATCGGTGAACCATTGAATAAATCTGAAATACCTGACACCAAATCTCACCACATGATGAGAAACTCTAGCCTCACCTTAAATTAATTTGAATAACTTGTCTGCGCGTTAATCTATATTTCCATGTGTTTTGTAATTGGAAAAAGTCTAAAACAAATCCTGAACTCGTAGAGAAAAGCTAAATGGAACCCTGAACTCCTAATCCCTGAAATCAGCACACTCATCTCACTAATCCCGGTCTAAATTAAACCCTGAGACCGTTTTAGTGCTAATTTGCTGACGTGGCAGGGATTTCAC